GCAGACGCGGCGGCGCTTGGGATGGCAGACTTCTCCCTGGGCGATCTTGAGCTGAAACAGCTGCGCCTCCACCGCGTCAAGGTCCTTCTTCAGCTGCAGATTCTCTTGACGCAGCTCCAGGATCTTCATGTTGTTCTCGACCAACCCACGGCGCACCATATGATGGAAGTCGATACGGGCCGCGTCGTACGCCTCCACCATGCACGCCAGGTGCATGATGGTAGCGTCATCCTCCGAGCTAGCATCCCAAAAGGTGGCGTAGTCGCGGGCTCCTCCGCGACGAGGGTGGTAGCGGTAGGGCGAGTGCTGCAACTCGTCCGGGTAGCGCTGGTGAAGAGTGCCGATGGCAAGGAGTGCGGCGTTCTGGCATGCGGCGGAGAAGGAATCTCCACCCGCGGTGACTGCCAACGAAGTCCTCTCGGGAGAGCCAGTGAGGATCACTGCAGTGACCTCCCAAGCAGCGTGGGGCTCTGCATCGTCACCATCCTGCTCTGGGAGCTTCTTGCCCTGGTAGTCCACTCCATGCGGGTATCCCAGGACAATGCACATGCCCCGCAGCTCCAACACAAAGCCACACAGGTCCAGGCCATGACGGTTGACGCTGCCGGCCATCTACAAGCAAGGACAAAAGAGAAAAACATTTTAAAGATCAGCTTTTGACAATAAATGAAGCAGCAAGACACAGAGAGACTAGAGGATTTTCACAAATAAGAAAAGGATTTTTATTTCGAAAATATTGCTAAGGCTTGGGATCAGAGGCTCGTCCTAGGGTCAAGGAGGCTCTGATACCAACTTGTCACGACCGGAAATAAACCAAAGGGCGTTCCTTACGTCCGTGTATTATTCCTTGTCCCAGGAGGCAAGGTACACCAAAAGTTGATACAATTCAGAGTTTAATCAAGCGGAAGCGTAAATAGTTAATTATTACATGGGCAACGAAGGCCCAACACACAGAAAGACAACGGCAAACATCGAAAGACTAGGGCGAGGACCACAGGCGCTTGACGGCAGGCACGAGCTAAACACCAAAGCCTTCATCATCCAGGAGCTCCTCTTCTGGGTTTGGGAAAAATTGAGCAAGACTGAGTACAACCACCGTACTCAACAAGACACACCCACAAGTGCAACATAAATGCAAAGGAGTACAATGGTGTTATAGTATAGGGGTTAGGTTTTGCAGTACACAGCATTTAAAAGACACTTAGTTGCTCAAAGCTAATAAATTTAAAACACGATCCTAGAACTATTTAATATAACTAAACATGACCGTGAACCCACACGAACCTGCCTTAACCCAAGGCCTACGATGATTCAGACCGAACTGGCAACCCGACCCTGGGTCCCAGCTCGTCCCAAGCCAACCCAGGCCAACCATTCCACATTTTAGTTGTTAAGCAGGTTTTAAGAATTAAAAACTCTAACTTGGGTACATTGCTAGGCTTGTCCATAACCGAGGGCGCGGCTATTCGAATAGGTTTTACTTTGATCAGAGGTGTACATCTTTACCCACAAGACACGTCTTCCTCACGTGCAACCACGTGCCACATACCACCACAGCATATGGACGGAAGACATGACATAATTTCCAACCCATCCTAGCCATAGACAAGAGTACCGACCCAACCCCACCTACGGCCGGAACCTCCAGGATAGGTAGGCAGGACTGAGCCCCTAGCAGCAGGACACCAGCACTGTGCCATGACATCTCGACTACCGGGCCACAGCTCGTGTAGCCTTCATTTGTCCTAGAGATGTCCATCGACCCCCGACTTCGTCCATCTCCATCCGTGTACTTTTGTTTATAACCAGACTGAGCCACAAACTAAGCCTTACCCACTAGACATGTGGAAGTACGGTAGTGCCTTGCAACAGAGGCCCGAAGAACGGTCCTTATGTGGCCGAGGTGCTACTATCAAAACCATGCACCCCGAGCCCAGCCTAAAACCATTTTGAGGGTTTTGAATAGAGGGGGAGGTGTGCATCCAATTCCACAATAATCCAACCATTCCATAATGTCCAAGTGATATGAATATTCCCAAAGTCTAAAGTTATAAAACCACCTAATGTTGTCTTATTAATCAGCGAAGCATCTACCTAAATTCATACTAGTGGAACCATGAGTAGAGTGCCCACTAGTTGGGGTTTTGTTTATTCTAGGGTGAACAAGGTAATAATAAAAATAGCAATAATAAGGTCATAACAAAGGTAAATAGGCATGGCTAAATAAAACAGTGATAACGCGAAAATTTAAATAAAGCGATAATGCAATAATTTTAAATCAAAATAATTTCACAAAGTGGGATCCAATATGTTCAAAGATGATGTGACTTGTCTTGCTCGCTTTCCCAAACGTCGGCTTCAACCTCCACGAAGAGCAGATCTTCCGAAGCTGCAGCGTCTACACGACCAACGGAAAAGAAAAGGGATTTTACTCTAATAAACTCCACATAACAAGCAGGAACAAAGCAAAAAAATGGGTTTTTGACTTCTTAAGGAAAAATTAGAGACTTGAACGGTCCAATTCCGAGTTCAAATAGCCAAGTTATGGCCATTTGAAGTTTATATGCTCTTTAAATGAATATTTACGAATTTCTTCATTTAAATTTTAATTTAAAAAGGGTTTATTGCGTCAGCCGGGGGGAGGGGGCGCGCGGACTGGGTCCACGGGAGTGGGGCCCACGCGGCAGCCTCACGGTCCACGGTGGACCGGGTGCACCCGGGCTCACACCGGCCGGCGCCGTGGGCCCCACGCGTCAGCCGCACCCGAGGGCGCGGGCGGCTGACGGCCGGGCCCCACGCGGCAGCCACTCGGCGCGCCCGAAGGCGGCCACGTCGGCGCGGCCGGCGGGAGGCGGCGCGCCCGCGCCCCTATGGTCACCGGCGGCGGCCATAGGCACGGCGGAGCGGCGGCCGAGAGAGGGGAGGGAAAGGAAGAAACGAGGCGGCGGTCCACGGCTCACCCTAGGTCGACGGCGACGACGAAAAAGGCGGCCGGAGGGGTGGAAGGCGGCGGCGCGGCTCGGGTGGACTTGGACGGCGGCGCTCCGGCGATCGGCGAGCTCGACGAGGGGGTGGACGGGGTCGACGGCTGTGCGGCGAAGCCGGAGGAGGCGACGCCGGGGCGGGAGGCGGTCCCGGCGAGCGGATAGGGCCGGCCGAAGGTCGTCGGTGATGGAGGAGAGAGAGGGCGACGGCGCGAGCTCGATTCCAGCGAGGAGAAGGCGCGGCAAAGGGTGGATACGGGTGAAGGAGGTGCGGGGAGGGTTTAAATGGGGTTGGAAGGGGGAGAGGGCGGCCGGTGGGGAAGGAATAGGTGCGGGAGGTCCCGCCGCCATCAATGGCGCCGGCGAGATTTGCGGGAGCAAATATGACCGTTTGAATGCAAGAGAGAGGGAAAAATGGGGGGAAAGGGAGAGGGGATCACGGGGAGTGATTCCCCCCAATTAATTTCACGCGGGGACGACGGGAAGCGGCGGGATTCGCGGCGGCGGCGGCGCTAGGCGCGGGCGAGGCGGCGGGAGCGGCGGGAGGAAGGGGATGACGGGTGGGCCCCACCCGTCAGCGAGGGTGGCGGGCGGGCCCGCCCGTCAACGGCGCGCGCGGGGAGGAGGCCGGATGGGCCGCGGGGGAGAGAGGAGAGAGGGGGGAGATGGGCCGAGCCGGCCCATTAGAGGGAAGGAGGGGTTTTAGGGTTTTTTCTTTTTATAAAATCTTTTTAAGTTTGTTTATTTCTTAATAATTATTATTTGTGCTCTGAAAATTCCACTAAAATTCATTTACACATTTTAGACTTTTAGGAAATATACAAAAATCCTCCAAGCCTTAATTGACTTTTAACTTTGCACATTTTAATTTTTGGAGGCTTTCACAAGGATTTTAATTATTCTAGGCATAATTTAAAGGATATATTTTAGGGTCGTTTTGGGACGCGACAGTTCTGCATGTGTGTTTTTATTAAAAAAAAGATCTAATTAACCTTCTGAAATAAAATAATGTATCTACCGATTTAAATGAAAATCGATGATCGGATTAGAGTACCACTTAGTGACCTAGAAGCATTTGTAAGATGTCACTTGGCGACTTAGAAGTATTTATAGGATGTTTAACGATTTTTAGTATAAAATAATCATTTTTCTAAAATTTCTAAGATTTTCTTTAATTTAAGAATGTCATATAGCAGCTTAGAGGCGTTTGTAAAATATTTAATAGATTTTGACATGACACGGGTGTGGGAGGGAGGGAGAGGTTTGGGATTTTTTTATTAAAAAAATCCAACAACCTAAATGTATCCATCAATTTATATAGAAATCGATGATCAGTTGCTATATATTTTTAAGATTTTCTATTACTTTATCTAATTTAATTGCACCACGTAGGGAGAGCTGCCGGGACTAGTAGTTGGTCTATTTATGATTTTTTTTACTTGTAAAAAATTTTGATTTTAATTTCTCATGAAATAGAAAATAACATAGGAAGGAAAAGAAGGAAGCACGTACAGGACGTACGTTTATTCGTTAGTATGATTGCTATATATTGTTTTTTTTTACGTTGTTGGTTCCGGATGTGATTTTATTCTTTTACAAAATAGATCTAACCATCCAAAACAATGGATCCACTGACCTAAATAAAAATAGAAAGTTAGATTTGGGTGTCACTTGATGACTTGAGAGCGTTTATAAGGTGCCACTTGATAGTTTGATAGTATTTATATGAAGTTTAATGGATTTTTATTATATAATTGATAAGCATACATATTTTTTATTGTTTAGGTAGTAATATTTGCCTCGTAGAAAACAAAAAACCAACATAAATACAAGTTATTGGATATAGTGATTTCTAGTCTTGAAAAAATTAAGTGATTGATCAATAAGAATAAGTGAGTCAATTGACAAATACTAGCTAGCAACCAGACAGGAAGAAATTAATTAAAGCTCTTAATCCTAGATTTAATTGTAATTATTATTCACAAGATGGTGTGGTAATATCCCATATTTCCAAAGGTTTCGGAGGAACCAAACGTGGTAAACCGAATCACCACGGCTTTCTGGGAGCTTCAGCTTCCGGCATGCTCAGACGAGCCAATTAGCTCCGGTACCCCTTCTTCCCCATCATCGCCGCCGACGAAAGAAACTGGAGACGCCAACACCGTGGTCATCGACGACCTCTTCCTCGCCCACAGCGATGCGATACTACCAGCAGGAGGAGATCAAAAAGAAGAACATCAGCTAGGCGACGACCTCGGGCAACAACAAGCAGCCACCGCCATGGAGATCGACGACGATGTGATCTACAGCCTGATCAGGAACTGGGATAACGACAGCAGCAGCAGCTGGATCGAGCTCCTGGACCACGCCATTGTCTCTCCCGCCTCGTGCTTTGTGCCTTGGAAGAGAACGGAGCTGGACAAGGAGGCGGTGGCCGGCGGGGAGGCGGCGCAGAGGTTGCTGAAGAAAGTCGTGGGCGGCGGCGGCGCATGGATGAATCGTGCCGCTGGTAGCTGCAGCATCAAGAACCATGTCATGTCCGAGAGAAGGCGCCGGGAGAAGCTGAATGAGATGTTCCTCATTCTCAAATCACTGGTCCCGTCCATCGACAAGGTAGCTACCTAGCTTACTGCTTAATAATTTATAAGTAGTAGACCAACTTGTCATTGATATTTCATGATGAAATTCAAGTTACTTTTATATACTCATTACTATGTACTGACATAACTGTTACTTATTTAATTTCAGGTGGACAAAGCATCCATCCTTTCAGAGACGATAGCCTACCTCAAGGAGCTGGAGAGGAGGGTGCAAGAGCTCGAGTCCGGGAAGAAGGTGTCTAGGCCGGCCAAGAGGAAGCCATGCTCAGAGACGATCATCGGTGGTGGCGGCGGCGGCGGCGGTGCTGGAGCTGTTAAAGAGCACCACCACTGGGTGCTCTCCGAGTCCCAGGAGGGCACCCCAAGCGACGTGCGTGTGATCGTCATGGACAAGGATGAGCTGCACCTCGAGGTGCAGTGTCGGTGGAAGGAGCTGATGATGACAAGGGTGTTCGACGCCATCAAGAGCCTCCGTCTTGATGTTGTCTCGGTGCAGGCGTCGGCACCGGATGGTCTTCTCGGACTGAAGATACGAGCTAAGGTTTGTCTCTCTCACTCAATAGAAACTCCGTATGTTATATTATTAATGCTCATGTTTCTTAAGTAGTATAGCTAGTATGCCATATCCATAAAATTTATAAAAAACTGAGCACACATGGAAGAGAGCGAGAAAAAAAAAAGAAAAAGAGAAATGTTGACTCTAATGTAAGAGCTAGTTTTATACATGCTCCGAGGTATATAGAAAGATCAAGCACATAAGTGAGAGGAGGAAAAAAATAATTATGGCAAATATATTGTACTCTCGCCATTCAAAAGTACAAGTAACGCAAATACAAAGAAAGAATTGAATTACCTTCTCCATTGGATCAACTTGATGCATGCACGTAATGTGATTGGGGGGCTTGATGGTAAAGGATTTAAAACAAATAAAATTTAGATGAGAAAGATGTACTAGCTATTGTATACATGCATGCACGCCTATGAAAAATTGGTTGTCTTATATTTTGGTACAGACAGAGTAGTTAGCTATACTATAAAAATATTTATGAAGTTGTGCATATTAATTAAGAAAATAGGTTATTTAAATGGGGATGGTTTAGATGAAGAGGTAGTTGAAGAAGCAACCTTAAATTTTTATAACACTAGAAGTTTAGCATATTTTGGGTTGGAGAGAGTAGAGGACATCATTTTAGGTTCTAAGTTTTTCAAAGTCGGTAAATATAACTATTCTTTTTTTCGCAAGAAAAATATAGAACCTTGATAGCTAGATTCTTCTGTACAAATTCAAAAGATAAAGGGCTTATTTTAGCGGTAAACCAAACATACTCTAACTATTATAATTTTACTAATTTTTAGTAATGTTAGAATCTTTTACTCTCAAAACAACACCAAAGTTTGGCAATTAAGAGTATAAGCCAAATATATATGTTTTTTTACCTGGTCTACCAAACTTTGCTAAGGACCAATTTTGACTTTGCTAGAATTTTGTAAGGTTAAAATAAACCAACCATACATATATATACCTACGTTCATATACCCATAGTTTCACTAGCGCAATATCGTGGAAACTTTATTGTAACAAATTTGGCTACGCTGTTTTCTTATGCTTAGAACTTAGGTTTTAAATAATGATCACGACAAAATTTAATTAGTTTATGTTGATTTTATGGATTTAAAAAAGACAATCGTTAATGATGCTAGCTGTGTATAAAATGGAGCTTTCATTATTCATTGATGCTAGCTGTGTTGGTATTGTTTTGCAGTATGCCAGTTCTGCCGCCGTGGTGCCTGCGATGATCAGTGAAACTCTCCGGACAGCCGTAGCAGGCTACTAATGTTGACTATTCAGAGCGTTGTGGCGTTAATTTGTATTGGTCTGCATTAATTGTATTGAAAATAAAGAATAAATAATTGTATTGAAAATAATGCTGGAAGCAGAACTACTCCAAGAGGATCCACGCCATCTTCATTAATTAAATTGTTCCATGCATATACTGCACAGACAACAGATAATGTATGTGTATAAGTTTAATGAATTACATCCAATAGCGTGCCTACAATACGACAGAATGGGTTTTTTTTTTTGCATGCGGGCGAACACGATCTTCGCATGCGGTCGGCCGGCCCGCATGTAGGAAATGGTCTGCAAAGATCGCCATTTGCTTTGCGCATGCGGCCAGCCCATGCTACACAGTCCTTCTGGGTCAAATGACCCTAACTCTCTAGCTAATTTATATTATACTAATTAATATATCAATTAATAATTAGATACTTAGTATGTATTTTATCATGGTAATTTTTGTTTTGTGTTCGGTACATCCATGTATACATGTTAATTTGTATTTTAGTTGAGTTGTGTAGCGCGTGTGTGGTAGGTCTGTTTTTAAATTATACATCACAATTATCTATATATTTTCAAACATATATTTAGACATTTATAATTATATGCACCACACAATTTATAAATCAGGACAAATGCATGCGCTCGAGGGTTAATCTAGATTACGACGAAAACTATGGTCGCACTCACACCTCTCAAACGAATGTGCCTAACATAGAAAACATTGAGGCATTCCCTTTATTTCGTGGACACCTCCTTTATTTTACAAACAGATTAAAAAGAGACTAGCGGTGGGAGCGTCGGCGACAGGCACGGCTACAACGCACCTCGGCTCCTCCACCCAGATGGCCTCAAGATGGTCGAATCTAGTGGTCCTGGGATGACGACCCTAACTTCTAGTAGCGGTGATGGGGGCGACCGCCATGCACCTTGGCTCCTCCACCCAGGTAGCCTCGCAACGGCTAGCCGTCAACCGGATCTAGCAGAGAAGACTTGGGACAATGACCTCGATGGCAATGATGACTTCAACTGCTAGCAGCGGCGGTGGGGATGACAACTAGGATTTCTAGACCAGAGGCCGCATATCAACAGCGGCATCTGCTAATTGATGATAAACTATTAAGGGACTAATATGTTTATTGAGTGTCTAAGGAGGAGATTAGCCTGATGATGATGATGAAGGTGTACAATGAGGTTTCACTATGATGCAATCGAAGATGGCAAGATGGGTTAGCAAAACTTGGTGTTGGTATTTGTTAAGGCCATAGATAAATTCGCAAGCGCACGGATACCGCTGTAGCACTTCATCTTAGAGTATTCTAATGATATCGAATCACAGGGAATGTATGAGTATAATCTAAGAACAAAATTCAACCAAGAATAACAACAAATGGTAGGCTTAAGCTAGAGAGGATTTCTATGTGTTAATTAACAAAACTTAAGTTAAGGTAAAACTCTATCAGTTGCTTTGGGCACTAGCTTTCCCTTGTATGCCACGTTGAGTCCGGTTTGTAACTCTCTATGATGTACTCGAACATGGAGGAATCACTACAAGAATCTATTTAATCTGTGACGAAATTTGACGAAATTTTCGTGATGTTTTCAGAGATCGTCACGGATATGCAACTATGGATACAAGGCCCATAATACCGTGACAGTTTATCGATTTCGTCATAAACCGGCCCAAAACCCGTGACGTTATAGCAATTTCGTCACAATTTAAATACTTCAAAACCATATAAGAGATATATAAATTTTATGAATAATGTTACTATCACTTTATCGGATGAAGAAATGACCAAAATAAAAGTTCTAGATATTGATGAGTTATACAACTTTGATGTTGATGACTTTTTCAATTGAAATCATTTAGTATTTGAAAATATTGTTTGCAGTTGACATAATTTGAAATTCAAATTCAAATTATTGAAACAGAGTCATATACCAAAATGACCAAAACAAAAGTTGTAGATATTGATGATTTATACAACTTTGTTGTTGATGACTTTTTCAGTTGAAATCATTTATTATTTGAAAATATTGTTTGAAATTATCATAATTTGGAATTCAAATTCAAATAATTGAAACAGAGTCATATAGCAAAATGACCAAAACAAAAGTTGTAGATATTGATGATTTATATAACTTTGTTGTTGATGACTTTTTCAGTTGAAATCATTTAGTATTTGAAAATGTTGTTTGAATTTGTTATAATTTGAAATTCAAATTCAAATTATTGAAACAGAGCCATATAGCATATTGACCAAAACAAAAGTTGTAGATATTGGTGATTTATACAACTTTTTTGTTTATGACTTTTTCAGTTGAAATCATTTAGTATTTGAAATTGTTGTTTGAACTTGTCATAATTTGATATTCAAATTTAAATTATTTAAACAGAAACATATAGAAAAATGACCAAAATAAAAGTTGTAGATATTGATGATTTATACAATTTTGTTGTTGATGACTTTTTTATTTGAAATCGTTTAGTATTTCAAAATATTGTTTGAAGTTGTCATAATTTGAAATTCAAATTTTATATAGACCAATTAAACTTAGATGGAGAAATAACCAAAATAAAATTTGTATATCTCAATATGTTATACAACTTTGTTTTTGTTTTTGACAACTTTTCAACATAAGTTCATTTAGTATAATAAAATTCGATTCGAATGTTTAATATTTCGAAATTAATTGAAAGGAGGGAGGCAAAATAGACTTCTCGGCAAGGGATGAGGAAAGGGCTGGCCCGTAACAGGCCTTTTGCTCCTCCCTTGCCGAGAAGTTCATTTTCGCTCCCTCCTTACAATTAATTTCGAAATATTAAACCTTCGAATCAAATTTTATCATAACAAATGAACTTATGTGAAAAAGTTGTCAAAAACAAAGTTGTATAACTTATTGAGATCAACCTATTTTATTTTGGTTATTTCTCCATCTAAGTTTAATTGGCCTATATAAAATTTGAATTTCAAATTATGACAACTCCAAATAACATTTTTAAATACTAAATGATTTCAACTGAAAATATCATCAACAACAAAGTTGTATAACTCATCAATATCTACAACTTTTATCTTGGTCATTTTTCTATATGACTTTGTTTAAATAGTTTGAATTTGAATTTCAAATTATGACACCTTCAAACAACATTTTCAAGTACTAAATGATTTTAACTGAAAAAGTCATCAACATCAAAGTTATATAACTCATAAATATCTATAACTTTTATTTTAGTCATTTCTTCATTCGGTAAATGGATAGTAACATTGTTCACAAAATTAACATATCTCTTTTATAGTCTATAAACTATATAAGAGATATGTACATTTTGTGAACAATGTTACAAATCGCTTTATCGGATGATGAAATGATTTATGGACGTGAAAATAACAAAGTTAAGTTTTTCTCCCACATCCTTCGATCACTGAGGCGTTGGCTCATATCTGTTTCAAAATGTTTGTTAACTGTCTTTATCTTATACTGAACACTACTGAGTTTTTCTTGTCATGTTTTCCAGGGTATCTGATTCCTTCTGGTCGTCGTCGTCTTGATCCAGAACAAGCGTGATCCCGACCTGCGCGCTTACTTTCTCGGCTTGGATTGATTGATTGATTGTGTGTGTGTTTCTCAGGAAGCCATGCTTTGGGCCGCCTCCTGTAATTAGGTTGAATCTGATATGAACTATTGTTTGAATTCTGTTGTATTCTGGTTGTATCTATTATTAGTTGAATCTGAGATGGTATATGTTATTAGGTTTTAATCTGATATGTATGAGAAATTGGATTGAATTTGGTGGGCTCAAATTTAATTGGCCTGTTTAGTGGGCTTTGACTTGTAGTTGGTTGACAAAATGGGCCTAGTTCTGAAATGGGCTAATTCTAATAAAATTAATGGGCCATCAAAGAAATAATGGGCCATTAATTAAAAAATGGGCCGTATAAAAAATGCTGACATTAGCTGCCACGTCATCAGTGCCACATCATCACATTAGCTTCCACGTCATCAGTGCCACATCATCACACACGTGTCAACGACCACGTCACCTGCCATGTTGGCCGTCACGTGTCAACCATCTGTGACGTTTAATTTCGTCACAAAGGTTAGGCCTGGGCTGGACTACATAAGCTCAAAAGCGTTTTATGACGGTTAAAAAACGTCATAGATTATGCTGATCCGTGACGATTTTAGAGAAAACGTCGGCAGATTTAATCTGTGACGCTCAATAGATGACGATAAGAAGAATCGTCACGGACAACTGACGAATTTTTAGTGATCCATGACGTATATTTTTCGTCATAGATTAAATAGATTCTTGTAGTGAATACGAGTGACGCATATGGTTGTTTCATCCCCTGCCGCCTACCACATTTTCCATGGAGCACATTACAAACAAAGGTAACCATAACCTAGACATCACGTCTAAGTTATTGATTACTATTTTAGCGTCACGCAAGAGCTTCCTTCTTTATCTAGAGTCTTAGGACTAGAGCATATAAGTTAGCGACGAACACGCAACGATGAGAATATATCTTACTTAAGCATGTAAATTTAAATACCAAAAGGAAATCTCAAATACTTACTTTATTAAATAAGCATCCACTGAGTTAGAAGAGAGCGTCGATAACTCCGGCACTCCTTGGAAACTTCCCCTCACTCTCTAACTATTTTCTGAACACTTCTAAAGTGTAGCCTAATGTATGAAAGTGAGTTGTACCCCCATTTTGTTTTGTGTTGTTAAATGACTTGAGATCCTCCTTTTAATAGCATGACTTGTGTTGTGATTTGTGAAAGTTCAGGGACATGTTATATGTGGTATTGCGGTTTAGGGACCAAATTTAAACCGTGACAAATTGAGGGACCTAAAGTGAACTTATTGCCCCGAAATAATGGGTGGCCTTTCCCTGGCAGAATGGGCCCAAACGCTCTTTTCTTCCGTAGGATGGACCTAACTCAAGGGTAAATTTTTAGGGAATAATTTTACTTTAGATCCCTCTATTTGTTGCCCAGTCTAATTTTCGTCCTGAACCACAAAACCGGATATCGGATATGACCCTCCCCCAACTTACGAAAACCA